CCCTGTGGGGGGGGGGCGCTAAAAATCAATTATGGTATTTTGGATACAGGGCCTCAAACTCTATCCCAGGAGCTCGAATCTCACATTGCCTTTTAGATGGCAGCTGGTTACCACCAGATGGCTTGGCCTCAGTGGAGAATGTCTCCTAGTTTGCCTAACAACAGACCTAGGCCCTGGGTGAGCCCACACCTATTTTGAGGGCTTGTATACATGCCTAGGGACTGGTGAGAGGCTGGTGAAGACATGCAGTTTTAGGGGTGCCTCTAGGATTAAAGGAAATATTTGATATCAGCTTTATACATGATAATAGATGTCTTCTGATATCACCCCCCCCATGGTTGGAAAGCTATTTAAGAGGATGCTTGAATAAACCATGGACTCCAGTCTCCAGCATGGACTGAGAGCCCTCCTGAGATGACAAGATATGTCTTTGTCTCATCCTTAACACCGCGAGGTAGCTAGGAGTTTCCCCAGGTCCATACTCTCCCACTCAGGGATGGACCCAGGGCTGTTTGGATGGCTCCAATTGCAGCCCCAAAGACATCAGTCCAGAATAGATGGCCTCTGTAACATAGGACTGATACAGGCAGAACCCTGGCTCTCCCCTTCATTTCTTTTTGTCAGAGTGTTTATCACAGCAACAGAAAGCAAGTAGTACAGGTACCAATATGTGTTATCCTCAACTCATAGCTCACAGCTCACAATTGTTCAGCTATTTGATGGTGCAGAGGTAGTATGCTTTCAATAGAAACCACTTCTGGATTTTGATCTTTTTCCCAGGTGTGATAGCTTTCTGACAAGGTGTTGTGAATGTAAATCATGTTAGGATTTCTGCTGCTATAGCAAAATACATGAGTCGTATACATTTATATAAATGTACACAGAGAGAAGTTTCATTTTGGTCCACAATTCTGGAGGTTTCAGCCCATATCTGAATAGGCCCTGTTGCTTTGGACTTGCAGCAAGACAGCACACCGTGGCAAGGAGAGCATGGCAGAGCCAACCTCTTCATGATGGAAAGAAAAGAGGGAGAGGGGCCTAGCTTCTTTTTAGCCCCTTCAAGTGCACAAATGAACCAAAAGACCCCATTGCATAACTCCCACCTCTTCTAAGTAGCATCCAGTTAGAGGCAAAGCCTTTAAAACTACATGGACACTCAGGGGCATTCAGCATCAAACTGAGCACCAAGCTAAGAATATGTGATAGTGCTTGTTCACTATGCCGAGTGGCAGCTCTCAGGCAGCATGAGATCAAGATCAATAACTGATGCTGTGAAGTATGCTGTGTTGTCAGACCATGAGGTTGGTGGGTGTATTAGTTATATGTGGTTTTATTGGAATATCTTACAGGCTGATGTCCAACAATGACTATTGTGAATGGGAAGTCCAAGAATCTGGTAGCTGCTCTAGGCCCACAGGGCTGGGTGTCTCAGCTGGAATGGATGTGCTGACAAGGCGAGGGAAAATAGGAGAAGGGTGAGCACATCCTTCCTTCTTCCATTATTCTTATATAGGCTTCCAAAGGTCTACATGCATGTCTGTGTACTAAGTGCATGCAGTGTCTGTGGTGGCCACAAGGGGGCATTAGATCATCTAGAACTGGAGTTACAGACCACTGTGAGCTATCCTGTGGGTGCAAGAAAACAAGTCTGAGGTGCTCTTAGATTCTGAACCACCTCTTCAGGCCCTAAAAGCATTTTTGTTTCTTTGAGACAGGGTCTCACTATACCGTTCTGGTTGTCCTGGAGCTCACTCTATAAGCCAGGCTGGCCTTGCACTCATAGAGATTCACTTACTTCTGCCTCCCCCAAGTGCTGGGGTTGAAGGCATATGCCACCACTGCCAGGCCTTTTTTTCCAGCAGTTTTTTTCAGGATACAATTCCCACATTTACATAAGAACACTGAGATAAATACTTTTGTGCATATATCTGTCACCATTTTTAGGTGTAGAAGCCATGACGGAGGTCTCAGTGCTCACAGATGAGCACTAGGGGAACCATAAACACTCAGGGTTGTTCCTTGAAAGGAAGGAATGCAGTATATGTTATCTGCCCAGAAAGCAGAGAGTGGACATGCTCTCTAGCTTGCTGACTTCTGCTCTACTTGAGTGGTGGGAGATTCTTCCAGCACCATCAGATCCTCTCCAGATCCTTCTTGCAAATTTGTTTTCCCCAGAATTTATAGAACCCATCTTTATGGACTTTAAAAGGGTTTTGATGCAGTCATGTCTGTTCTATATTTAGCTTTCTTTGTTCCCCAAAGAGATTTATGTATGCTTTGTTGTGAACCAGGGATGGAGCTAATCATCACTAGAATAAATTTTGCTAAATTGTGCTATGCTTAAATAGCCCTAAAATAAACTACTTGGGGTCAGACTCCCAAAGTTTGAACCAATACTGGCATCTGAGTCCTGTTAAACCTAACTTCATTCTTGCCTACCTTGGATCATCACATTCCTGGCCTCGGAGGTCACAGGGAGAGACCCCTGCATTTAAGAACATTCATATATGCCAGGAGATGGTCCTGCATAACTTTAATCCCAGCACTTGGAAGGCAGAGGCAGGTGGGTCTCTTTGATTTCAAGGCCAGTCTGGTCTGCAGAGGGAGTTCTAGGACAGCTAGAGCTACACAGAGAAACCCTGTCTTGAAAAACAGCTCTTAGGAGCTAGAGACAAAGCTCAACAGCCGAAAGTCCTTATTGCTCTTGCAATATGGATATAGCCTCAGTTCCCAGCACCCACAACCATTTTAACTCTAGTTCTAGAGAATTTGACGACATTTTCTGGCCTCCAAGCTCACCAGACATCCACATACATACATCATTTATCTATTTATTGCTTTTTTTGAGACAGAGTTTCTCTGTGTAGTCATGGCTGTCATGGCTGTGTAGTCATGAACTCTCATTGTAGACCAGGCTGGCCTTGAACACATGGAGATCCACTTGCCTCTGCTTCTGGAGTGTTGGGATTAAAGGGGTGTGCTACCACTGCCTGGATAGATTTTGGTTTTTCAAGACATGGTCTTTCTGTGTAGTCCTCGCTGTCCTGGAACTCACTCAACACCACATCTCAAATATGTATAACTTTTAAAATAAATAATTATTTATTTGGATGGCTGGCATGGTGGCATACACCTTTAATGGTGGCAGCACCTGGGAGGCAGAGGCAGGTGGATCTCTGAGTTCGGGGACAGCCTGGTCTACAGAGTGAGTTCCAGGACAGCCAAGGCTACACAGAGAAATCCTGTCTCAAAAAACCAAATAAAATAAAATAATTTGTGTATTTTAACTGGAAAATAATATTTGTGTATTATCTGGGGTCTATTTGTGTTTTTTATCTATAATGACATGGTAGAAAGAGTCAGTCAAGCTATTTACCTTGCCTACTTTTATTTTTAAGGTGAGAACAACAAAAAACTATTGTAGCAATTTAGTCCTGGCCACTAGGGGGAAGAGTGGAAAGCCAAAAATTTCAGATGTCTTCCAGAGATGTGTCCTGTAATTAAGTGGTGTTAGCTTCTCCTGTAATAATAGTACCATAGAGACATTCTTCTCTGTTTCTTTCATGAAAGATTGATTTTAAATAAAGTCCATTCCCCATGCACACACATTTCTCTCTGAAAATAATGTAGCATGTTGAGTCAAAGAGGTAGATACAAGAGATCATATATTGTGTAATTTTGTTAAATGAGACATCCAGAGACGACAAAACTGTACAGGCATAAAGTAGATTGGCAGTTGGATGGTCCAGAGGCTCAAGAACTAGGGGTCACAGTTCTCTCTCTCTCTCTCTCTCTGTGTGTGTGTGTGTGTGTGTCTCTCTGTCTCTCTGTCTCTCTGTCTCTCTCTCTGTGTGTCTCTCTCTGTCTCTTTGTCTGTCTCTGTGTGTCTCTCTGTGTGTCTCTCTCTGTCTCTCTGTCTCTCTCTCTCTGTCTCTGTCTCTCTGTCTTTGTCTGTCTCTGTGTGTCTCTCTGTGTGTCTCTCTCTGTCTCTCTGTCTCTCTCTCTCTGTCTCTGTCTCTCTGTCTCTGTCTCTCTGTCTCTGTCTCTTGTGTGTGTGTGTGTAGGGTTGCTAGAGACGTAGCTCAGCAATTAAGGGTATTTATTCCTCTTACAGAAGACTTAAGTCCAGTTTCCAGCATCCACGTAGTGGCTCATAACAATCTCCAACTCCAGCTTCAGGTGATCCAATGCCCTCTTCTGGCCTCTGCAGACGCTAGGTACCTATGTGGTGCACAGACATACGTGCTAGCAAAACACCCATACACATAAAATAAACCAGAAACAATGGGGCCTGGAGAGATGGGGTGGTGTTATGAGTTCTGGATGCTCTTCCAGAGCTCAGGCTCAGTTCCCAGTACAACAGCAGATAATAGTCTTCTGTAAATACAGCTCCAGGAGAGATGATGCCCTCTTCTGGCCGCCACAGCCACCAGGCATATTCTTGGTACATGCACACAGGCAAAATGCCCATTCACATAAAATAAAAGTAAAGAAAGTTTTAACATAAAAATAAAAATGATTCGAGGCCAGTCTGGTCTCCAGAGCGAGTCTAAGGATAGGCTCCAGAGCTACACAGAGAAACCCTGTCTTGAAAAACCAAAATAAATAAATAAATAAAATAAAAATAAATAAAAGCATGTTATTTTCTTTCGTAGGACCTTACAAAATGTGGGGTTTTGTTTATTGGTTTGCTTTTGTTTTTTTGTTTTGTTTTGTTTTGAGGCAGGGTTTCTCTGTGCAGCTTTGTAGACCAGGCTGGCCTCAAACTCACAGAGATCTGCCTGCCTCTGCCTCCCGAGTGCTGGAATTAAAGTTGTGCACCACCGCCTGGCTCAAAATGTATTTTAGATGTGAAATGTTCCCCGCAAGGCTTATGTGTTTGAATACTTGGTCCCCAGCTAACGATGAAGTTTGGGAAAACTGTTTGTAGTTGGGAAACTGTAGTTGGAGCGCTGGGAGAGGAAGTACATCACTGGGGCTAGGCTTTGAGGTCTTGTAGTCCAGACTCACTTCCTGTTCCTTGTTCTGAACACTGACTGCTGATACAACGTGACAAGCTGGCCTGGTGTGATAGACTGTATCTCTATGGAACGGTAAGCCAAAATAAATTCTTTCTCATTTACATTGCTTTAGTCAGAATATTTTTTAATGATTTATTTATTTATTACGTATACAGTGCTCTGTCTCCATGTATGCCCGCAGGCCAGAAGAGGGCGCCAGATCTCATTACAGATGGTTGTGAGTTCTATTGAACTCAGGACTTCTGGAAGAGCAGTCAGTGCTCTTAACCTCTGAGACATCTTTCTAGTCCCCTAGCCAGAATATTTTATCACAACAACAGAAAACAAGACAAGAGTATTACTTGTCCAAAATCCAGATCTTACTTTATTCCCTAGCCTATATTTTACATTCCTGATGATTAAACCGGAAATTACTTCAAGGAAATCCCTGGAATAAAAGAGAATATGTTCAAACCATTCAAAGGAATGGAATTTTTTAAAGTTAATTAGAATTGGCCAGAGGGGGAATAGAATCAAGTAATATCTGATTCTTAAAAAGCCAAACGAGGTGAAAGGAAATAGTTACGATTCAACTATCCATACATCATGTCTGGACACCTTGCAGAACTATTTATTATTTGTATATGGGAGAACAACAGGGCTTCCTCTGACCTCCTGTATCCAGGAGACCAATGAGAGGGAAAGCTGATGGCTTCCTGTGGTTTTTGTTTTCTTTAGTTTTTTTTTTTTTTTTTTTTTGAAGAAAGAAGGGCATGGTTGAACTCAGAACCTCATGCTTTGCTTGCTAGGCAAGGGCCCTACTACTGAATCAGAGCCCCGGCATTTGCTTTTTAGTCTGGGTCAGGGTCTTACTAAATTGTTCAGGCTGGCCTTGAACTTAGAATCCTTTTGCCTCAGCTTCCTGGGTAACTGGGTTGGCAAGCCTGTAATACCAGGCCCAGTTACTATGTTCTTCTGTGATCTGACTGTGGAGTCTACTTTAGCTGCCACATTCTGCTTCCAAATATCCATGCTGACTGGAGGCAGGCCTTACTGCCTTAATCTTTCGTGGATGTGGAGAGTGCAGTCCTGGATTGTATACCAGGATGGCCTCAAATTTAGAGAGCTCTCCTGGCAGGTCTTTAATCCCAGCACGCAGGAGGCAGAGGCAGGATGAGCTCTTTGAGTTCAAGGCCAGCCTGATCCACATAGCAAATTCCAGGCAGCCAAGGCTACATAGTGAGACCTTGGGAAGAGAAAGGGAAAAAAAGAGAGAGAAAATACATATCCAAATATGTTGCCCTTCTGACCGCTACACTTATTGCACACATACACTTTGGCACACATAGACACACATACATACCTAACAAATAAATGCTTTACAAATTCCATAAATACAGGCCTTTAATCCCAGCACTCGGGAGGCAGAGGCAGGCAGATCTCTGTGAGTTCGAGACCAGCCTGGTCTACAAGAGCTAGTTCCAGGACCCACTCCAAAGCCACAGAGAAACCCTGTCTCGAACCCCCTCACCCAAAAAACTCAATAAATACATAATGCAATATATGATAATTATATAATGCAAGTTTATTTTATTTATTTGGGGATAATAATGAAAAAACAGAAATAGATTATAGTAGGAGGAGTAATTTATTTTCAAATATTCAGAATATCCTCTGAAAAAAGCCAAGAGGATAAAAAGGAGAGGGGAATTGAGGCAGACTATGGGCGGGAGTGGTGACTGTGGAAAAAAAATTAAAGCTAACCCCTGATGGCTATGCATGTCTGCAAAAACAGCACTTGGGAAGTGAAGGCAGGATCAGGTATTCAAGGCTATCATCAGCTGCACAGCAAGTTAAAGGCTAGCCTTGGCTACATGAAACTCTGTTTCAACAAAAGAAAAACTAAGGAAGTGGGCTGGAATTGTAACATATACGGTAGATCATCTATGTAGTATGTGCAAGGCCATGGGTTCAACTTTTATCACTCCTTTCCCCAAAGGAAACAAAAACACCCACTGGAATTATAGATTGTGGGTCAACAAATAAATGATGGCTAGTGGAAACCATTAAGATGGCCAGCTGGTGGAAAGTGCTGAAGCCTGCAAGCATACTTTTCTTCATTTTGCTTTTAAATTCTAATTACACTTATTTATTTATTTGTGTGTGTGTGTGTGTGTGTGTGTGTGTGTGTGCATGTGCCACAGTACATGTATGGAAGGAGGTCAGAAGACAGCTTTCAGAAGTTAGTCCTTTTCTCCCGCTATGGGAGTCCCAGAGATCAAACTCAGGTCCTTAATGGTAACAGCAAGGGTCCTTCTCTGCTGGGCCATCTCATCGCCCTTTTATTTTCCCCACATATTTTTAGCTAGAAAATTCATCCACAGCCGGGGTGGGGGGCGGAGAGGATGCAGACAGTTGCGATGATGGCCAAGTTTGAACAGGAGAAATTCTGCTTCAGATTAATAGGTACAAAGAAACAGGAAATTAACTTTTGGGGAGAAGCAGGAAATACCCGGTAGCCGAAAACAGTCAACAGGAAAGTAAGAATGAAGGCAGCCTTAGAAAACCAGGCCTCATTACTGTCCTCACGAAATCCTCTTTTGAAGATGCCTACCATTGGACAAAAACCAATGGGCTTGCAAGAACTTACGTAAGTTCTCACAGTAACTTTATTTTACTGATTTTTCTTGAATGCGTTTTAAGGTATACTATGACACGGGGTGTTTGTTCAACTAGAGGAGAGCTAGTCACTCTGATATGAAGAGTCAGTTTTGAAAATAGCTGGGAACATCTCTTGAGGGACAGTGAAGCTAAACTAATTCGAAGCGGCAGATGTATTCACACTGGGATGCGCCTGGCCTGCGGGCAGCAGCAGCTCTTACATAAGCTGATTAGGTTGAGCTGCTTGCTGGACCGTTCAGAGCTCTGCTGAACCCACGCCCTGCATTTGCCCTCTCTGGTTTAGTGAAGACACATCAAGGGCAGTGGACTAGAGGAGAACAAAATAATAATACATCAATAAATATCATGTCTCTCGAAAATAAGTGAAAATCCCACTTAGAATATAACAAATGGGCTTTCTACTGAGAGGGGAAACATAGGCTCACTCTTTTTTTTTTTTTCTTAAATACTCAGTTTGAAAATAAATTCTATGTATATTGGTGTTTTGCCTGCATGTGTATATCTGTTTCAGGATGTAGATTCCTTAAAACTGATGGGTGCTGGGAACTGAACCCAGATCCTCTGGAAGAGCAGCCAATGCTCTTAACCACTAAGCCATCTCTCCAATCTTACTTCTTTAGGCAAAACGTTTGTATTTGTATTTGAGAATTCTTTAGTTGGGCACCTGTATAATCTGAGGAAAGTTTATACTGGAAGTTATAATTATTTTAGTGAAGTTATTTTTTTTTTCAAAATTTAACCTTTTCAAATAGATTTAGGTTGAATGCCATGAAATTTCTGATTTCTTTTTTATTTCTACTTTTACTTTTTCTTTTTACCAATCCCAGTTCCCTCTCCCTCCTGTCCTTCCATTCCCCCCCACCATCTCTCCATTCCTGCCTCCCCATTCATTCCTCAGGGAGGGTGAGGCCTGTCATGGGGGAATCATCAAAGTCTTTCACATCATTTGGGGTGGGACTAAGGCCCTCCCTCCTGTATCTAGGCTGAGAGAGTATCCCTCCATAGGGAATGGACTCCCAAAGCCCATTCCTACACTAGGGATAAATACTGGTTTCACTGCCAGCAGCCCCATAGACTGCCTAGGCCCCCCAGCTGACACCCACGTTCAGGGGGCCTGAAATTTCTGATTTTGTAGCCAATAAATGATGATATTATTCAGTGTTCTATAACAGACCAGAATTCTAAATTAAGTCCTATAATTTCATCCAACAAACTTTATTTTCTTTTTTTTTTTTTGGGGGGGGTTCAAGACAGGATTTCTCTGTGGCTTTGGAGGCTGTCCTGGAACTAGCTCTTGTAGACCAGGCTGGGCTTGAACTCACAGAGACTTTGTTTTCTTTTGAGGTTTTGTTTTTCGAGTTAATTTTGTTGTTTGCTTGTTTGTAGACAAAAATCTCACAGTGAAGCCCCTGCTGGCCTCAGACATGAGTTTTCCTGGGATGAGATTACAAGCATGGGCCATTATGCCCCAATTCAACAAATGTTTTTATTTGTGTCTCAGTGTTTGTGTGTATGTATTCTTACATGTATGCCATTGTGGATGGAGTTTACTGTTCCACCTGGTCCTGTTGCCATTTAGCCCCAAATAAACACACAGGAGACTTTAACTAATGGTTCAGGCTTCTTATTGACTAGCTCTCTCTTAATTGTTAACCCATTTCTATGAATCTAAGTATACCCACGTGGTTTTATCTTATCAGAGAATGTCCAGACCTGCTACTCCTTCCTCTCTTGCAGCCTCTCTCTGCCTCCTCTCCCTAGAATTCTCGTGGTCTGGTAGCCCAGCCTATACTTCTTGCCTGGCTACTAGCCAATCTGTGTTTTATTCATCAACCAATAAGAGAAACATATATACTGAAGGACATCCCCCATCATGCTACAACCCATGTGTAGTAGAGGTCAGAGGACAGCTTGCAGGAGTCAGTTCTCTTTTTCCATCATGTGGATCCCAAGGATAGAACTCAGGTCATTGGGCTTGGAAGCAAGTGGCTTTACTCGAGGAGTCAGGTTACTTGTCCTCAACAATCATTTCTGACAGCCTTAATATAATCTTTATTCTTTTTTTTTAAGATTTTATTTATTTATTATGTATACAACATTCTGCTTCCATGTATATCTGCACACCAGAAGAGGGCACCAGATCTCATAACGGATGGTTGTGAGCCTCCATGTGGTTGCTGGGAATTGAACTCAGGACCTCTGGAAGAGTAGTCAGTGCTCTTAACCTCTGAGCCATCTCTCTAGCCCATAATCTTTATTCTTGAGCAATTTCCATTTTAATCTCGGCACTCGGGTGGCAGAGGCAGGCAGATCTCTGTGAGTTCGAGACCAGCCTGGTTTACTAGAGCTAGTTCCAGGATAGCCTTCAAAGCCACAGAGAAACCCTGTCTCAACTGCCCCCCCCCCCCCGA